CCCCCCCCCTTCTGATCTCGTACTCTTCACACTATCATTACATTATAATTTAATAATTCTCTCGTTCGCTATAATCGATTACTTCCATTACTAATTATGCATTTCGTAATTAAAACACAATGATTAAGGCTGTCGCACGTAGCTGAGGCGTATTAATTGATGGACGTACATCTTTCTCTCTCGCGTGACAAATATACCCATTTTTTTGCTATTATTCGAGAGAAAGAAATACGGTTAAAAGTTGTTATTAATTATACCTTTGCGGCCCATTCACGAAAATTCTCACTGGCTCGTTAGTATGCGATTGTTAAACGGATTTACACAGTACGTCCATGTACTATGTTAATCAACTAAATTAAACATTGAAATTAATAGATTTTCATTATAAACACAAACCAAAGAAAAAAAAATCAGCCGTTAATTTCCACTGTATGATTATTGCACGCTCTTTATGAAAAAATTGCTCCCACAATATTACATATCTTTCTTTTAGATATGTATATGTATATATATATATATTTATATACACATATTCCATGTATTTTTATCGTTAATAATCAACCTTGACGTACCGTTCGAAGCTACTGTAATGCACGAAATACATAGCTCTTTGAAATTAGACAAATTCATTGAGCACGTCGCGCATTCTATGAAGTTTCAAACTCGCTTTAGCAAAACCGGTAGCACTAGTATGTTGAAAGAAGTCAAACGAGGTAATCGAAGTCGACGCATGAAATTCGCGCATTTCTCGAGACACCCAATCTCTGCGTAATCGCACAAAAAAATAAATAATTGCAATCATTGTTATAGTTTAGACATTTTAAATATAATCCACTGTAGACATCTTGTTTGTTTTTTTGCAGGTCGCGATACCGGGAAGAACATTCATGTAAATCATAATGCATTTCTTGTCTTTTTTTTGCGTTGTGTTACACGTATTGTATAATTAGACACGCGGAGCGCAGATGTAATTGATAATCATTCAGTCCGCGTACCTGTATGACAATAGAATCAAGGTCTAATACCACGCGTTCCTGAACCCGTATAACGTACCGAATGGGTCGCAAAGTATACACATTTGTGCTACCTTAGCATTCCGACGACGAGTTCAAGCCCGGCGATTGTATCTTTTTGGTTCGCGTTATACGATCCAGTTCAGCTGCGGCGTCATTACGCATAGCTGCCTTGTCCACCGGTCCACCATCTGCGATCATCGAATCTGCGAAGAATGATAACGAATTGGCACTCTCCGAGTTAGTAAAATATTTTATTTTCTCATTACTATTACATTGACCAAAGATATTTACCTATCTTCATGGGACTTCCACCCACGCTACCTGGTGAGCCAGGTGCTCCTGGCGATGTTCCTGTTTTCTTGTGTAAAAGGGAATTGAAAAAATTCGCTAAAACCCCTTCACCGGAGGGCGTAGCTCCAGTGCCCTTGGGATCCAATTTTTTATTCGGTGAGGCCACCTAAAGATTAATACCTTTACAAAAGTGCACTATGGAATTTACAGTTTGTTTTTTATAACATTTCTTGTTGATTGCAACAGCTCATACCACAGGGATTAGAGCATGCTTTTTACCTGAGAAACTATCTATACATTTCGATAATCACAATTCATGAAATTAATAGTTCTTTCTATTGCAACGAAAAAAAACAATTTGCGCTAACAGATGCCTCTTTGCAAGTTGAATTTCAAAACAGACAGACATTCATTTCACTTTTAATGTTTATAGTATGTATATAATTATCAATTTTCCATGACGTCACTGACAATAATTACAATCAGTAGACTCCGTCTGCTAAATAATATATGTATTTTATGGATTAATTGGCCCAAAAGTTGCATGATATAATCAATGAATCAAATGCATTTGCTATATTAATCACAGTTTACAGTGATGTGAATGACATAGTTCAGGAGAAAGTTTTCGTTTCTCAATTAAATTTGATAAGGAAATTCAACTTGTACTTCTCAAGAAAATAATGTATATATAAAAGCAGGTTAGGTTCCATGGATATTACGTGAATGTAAATTTAGACATTATCATAGGTTTTTTTGGGTGAAATACACCGAATGTGAGAATGTAAAGTATAACAATAACGAGTTACATAATAAAAGCGCAAATAGACATGGAAATCAGTAATAGAATAAATACTATTATAAAACACATAGAAAAAAAAAATTAGTTGCTAGCCTCTTTGATGTTACACATCATATTGCCATTAGTGACAGGTATGCAGCATCTGCATAGCATGCTCTAATTGTAAATGGTACGACCTGTATAACAGGGCCAGGGCTTGCCTGATTCCGAGTTGTTGGAGAACGCGTTGGATCCTTCTGACCAGACAATGCCACTTGTTGTCTAGCTAAGAAAACCTGCTCCTCTTCGGCACGAACTTCGACCTCTCTGGCTACACACTAATTAAAAGCATTATACATTCCTCCGATGATAAGTCTGAAGCACAAATTATTTACAATCATCTTTGTAATTGTAAAATTACCTTGCGATTCGTTGCCGGTTGGGCGATAACGTCGCGATAATAATCATCAGGTTTCATTGATTGCAAATTTTCATGGAGAATGCTGATTTTCTTCATGTTATCCCAACCAGCAGGACTAAATAATGGTATTAATTTTTAATTAATTGATTTATCAGAAACCAGAATTCTTTAAATTTAATTGTAATACTTACATCAGTACCGCATCCTTCTCCACAACTAATGCAGGTGTTCTAAATGGTAATGAGTAGATTCTATGTGTAAGGTATTTGTATAGCAGATCACAGTTCTTGTCCTCCTTTGCTGATGTATAAAATAGTCCAGCACCATACTGAAGACAAAATCGCCTAATCCATTGTTGCATGAAATCAAAGTGTTCGTCCCTGTAGATAATGTAAAATTGTGAATATCATTTAATTAATTTAATGATAAAATTAATACATAATGTGTCTCCTACTTGTAATCGTGTTCTTTTTCCAAGGTTGACATGTAATCTGTTTTTGTTATTACAACAACGACATCAAGGCCTAAGTTTGTGGTTAGAACTCCCTCTGGTAAGGGTAAACACTCTGTAGCTTCATCGTCAAGATTACGACTGGTGCGTCGCAGTGGACTTCCTGGATCTAGCTCGTCCCCCGGTTCTGTGTATTCCTGCCACTTCTTTACATCTGTGTAACATGAAAATTATTCAAGAACAAATGCCAGACAAAACTAATTCATGATATTTGTAAAAAACTTACTGAGCTGTCTACATTGCTGCCTAGTATCATTGTCTAGAGCTAACTTGTCAATGTGATCACCCAAAAGTGCAGCCCATGCTTGAAGCTGCTCAAGTATAGCCCAGGGTGTCGTCATAGCTGCTACTAGCATGACGAGCGTGTGTGGAAACCGCTCAGCATTCAAAGCGTATTTTAATAAATTCGCATGACCCGGATCTCCATCCAGAACCCATACAGATAATCTTGTGTGATCTAACCAGTGAAAGATTGCATTGAAAAATTGTATTGTGCCGTATAAACGTAATGAATTTGTGTTTATGTTACACTACCATCTCTGTAATCATCGCGCACATCTATATATGCAAATTCAAGGCCAGATCCCTTTTTAGGATCTTCAACACCCTGTAATTTAGCGATGAGTGTCGTTTTACCACTTTCATTGTCACCTGTTCAAACAAAGGCATATAATTAGTGTCTGTACATCAGATTATTTATGCTATTAATTTAATATAAAACGTTTATGAAAAAAGATTGAACAACTAAGAAATAACTCACAAAGAACAATATAAATTGTAAGTGCTAATCAAATTGTGTATATCATATGAATTATTTAAAACCTTTATGACAAAGTACAGTCATTATTTGATATCAAACCTGTTTTTTGAAAAATAAAACCCCTAGTCTTAAATGGATTACAGATTTGCCAAGCTAGTAGTGTGATGTTGGATGACAACTATAATTATGCAAAATACAAACAAAAGAACAAACTTCAAACATCAAACATGAAAAATTTTAAATAATATAAGTAAATACATAATTGCTGTTTACAATTTCTTAGGAAAAATCAGAAATAAATCCCATATATCAAGAAATATAATTATATTCAAATGTATACACAATAACAAGATAAATTGTGATTTGATATCTAAAATCATGAAATTGTGATTATTTAATTTTTGTACATATAAATTTAAGAAATAATTATATTAGAGCTGCTATCAAGTCATTGATTTCACGGAAATATGCTTTGTAAATTCTTCAGTTAAAATACATTCTTTGTATACAAATATTATAAATGTTCTCACATATATTACAATTAAAAATATTACAAACAACTTACATTAAACATGTCAAAATCAAACGATAACTATGATCAGAGATGCATCAGGTTAATGTACTCTAGATATGATGTCATACTACTAGTGACACATACCAAATAAATGCTTGATGTGCAAAACAAGTAACATTATAAAAGAAGACAAAGTGTCTTACCTAAAACAAGGACATTTTTATTCGATGGTAATTTGTTGTTCCCGCTATTTTGTACCTCAGCCAAAATAGAAGACCTGTAATAGAGAAAAAGGTAGACACTAGAGAATTGACTATACTCAGAATATGGAGCTCACGTTATGCTTCAAACTGTAAAATATGTAGGTTACGTCGGTGTAAGAAGCGACAGCTATTATTATTATATATCCAAATTAATTTAACTTTCTAAATTATAATTAACATACCATAAATTGTCTTTATTCTCGGTCTCATCCTTCTTTTTCGACTGAAACCCATTGACCTGCGACATCATCTCAACTGCCGTCGCTGCCATTACCCATTTGACAGACTAAAAAGCGATATCGATTCTCGTAATATCGATTACATTTGCGGGTGCGGTTTGTAGCTATGTTCACTGTATTATTATTTCTAATCTAAAGGTACTATTTCATGCACGCGACCGCTGACAAAAATCAATCGATGTCATTGGCTGAAATTTAATAACCACAACTGTAGTTCATTTACGGGATATACCCTTAATAAACATCTTTTTACACCTCCATATAGTTAACCCCTCATTACGATCGATCGAACTAATTTTTTTCGCTATCGTTTGTTAGTAGTTTGTCAGTGAATGATGGACTATTATAAACATTTGACGGTTATTTGTTTATATAAAATTATAAAAACAAATTTGACTAGGGAATTTTTTTCAAATAACCCCTCCATCGTCATATTTTCAATTAACTTTTATATAAATCGATGTAGAAACGTTTGTCGGTGATTGATGGTCTATTATTTACAAGAAAAACTTTATATTTTCTTTGTGATTGGAAATAAAACAAATTTGGCTAGGGAATTTCTTTCAACTAGTCCCTCGATGGTCAGACTGATTCCTCATGGAGCCTCGTGGCACATTTTCGAACTATTACTCGACATGATATAAGATCCGGTTTCCCAAGAATCCTCCATTACAGTTTTGTCTCGTGTGAAACCTATACGCGTTGTCAACATGGCCGGACCATCGCCGAGCAGAACCGAGGAAGCATCCGCCTTTTGCAGCTACCTTGTTCAGGACAATTCAAGCAAATGCTATGTGTCAATAAAGATACGGATCCACTTCATTGTCATGAAGAGCTCAAACCCCCAAACATAGTCATTGAAAACAGTACAGATGAAACAATCTGATCAAAGTCAATAGTACATTTGGCTCTGAAGGTAGAGGTCGGTGTATCAAAGTAGGTCAAAATTGGTACACTCCAATTAAATTCAAAATGATAAACGTATTTTTTATAAACGCTCTGTCACATAGCGCATTAACCTACTTTTATACAGCGGCCTCTACCTCCAAAACCAAATCTAAGTACTTTTATGTAGCTCAGCATTCGTGTTGTTGCTGAAACTATCTTCTTTCCTTCCTTTCGTTACGCTAGCAAATCACGGATCGTTATTAGTTTTCCGATAGATAATAGAACGGAATTGCGGGTTCGCGATTGGCTGCGTATGTTACGCGTACACAAAGTACGCCCCATGAGTAATCAGCCTGACCATTGAGGGACTAGTTGAAAGAAATTTCCTAGCCAAATTTGTTTTATTTCCAATCACAAAGAAAATATAAAGTTTTTCTTTTAAGTAATAGACCATCAATCACCGACAAACGTTTCTACATCAATTTATATGTATGTATAAAAGTTGATTGAAAATATGACGATGGCTATTTGAAAAAAATTCCCTAGTTAAATTTGTTTTTATAAATTTATATAAACGAATAACCGTCAAACGTTAGAATAGTCGACTGTTTCAGATCGATTTGAAAAATCGATTATCTTTCCCCAGAGAATCGATTTTTCGATTAATCGATCTCAGATCGACATGCCTAACCTATAGTGCTCTGAACACGTGTAAAAACGTTTGCATGATTAGACCTATTAATTACTAATATAAAAGCCGCTTGAGTATAATTGATACTTGAATGAATGATATTGCCGATTTAAAGAAATATTGAATTTAATCTGCATATTCTACAGATATGATAAAATGGAGTTCTATAAAGCTTCGTAAAAGTTTCAATACATTGTACAGATCCCATTTTATAATAGCCGCCATTTAACAGTAAAGAGAGAATTGTCTCAACAGGCTGTGGTCTCAACTTCGCTTTTGTATCGAATCGAGATATAATTGAATGTAATACAAAGAAATAAGGAAATGGTGGGTGTTTTAAATGAATCTGACAGTGAGGATGAAATGCCACCTGGTTGGGAAGAACGTGCTACTTTAGATGGAAATGTTTATTATGTGAAGTAAGTTGAATAAGAGTGTGAAATCGTCTGCTAATGAAACCCTGTTTTATGTTTTCGTAAAAGTTTGAAGATAACGTTACTAGAGTTCCCCAGTCTCCCTACAATACAACATACATAATTCCGTTTACCCAATCATTACTAAAATGATTAACTATGTATTAATGTTATATTTTACTATTTACTAGTCACTACACCAAGGGTACGCAGTGGACACATCCCCGTACTGGTCGTAAGAAGATAGTGGAGGGAGGTATTTATAATTTTGACTAGTAATTTAAATGAAATTTATTTAATATGTAATATAAATGATAAATAATAGAACTTCTATCAAAGATGTACCGTTCTTACAATGCCGATTTACTGTTTCTTTATATTGGTATATTTAACTATAATATTATTTATATGCAGAACTACCTGCTGGCTGGGAAAGATGTGTTTCTGAGGATGGCAAGGTTTTATTTGTTGACCATATGAATCGCACAACCACTTATACCGATCCCAGGTTGGCTTTTGCCACCGAATACAGAGAGATTTCACAACCTGTAAGACAACGCTTTGATGCTAGCAGTACAGCCTTATCTGTATTACTTGGTAGAGACTTACGTGGTAAATTAGCTCTTATTACTGGAGCAAATACTGGAATAGGTAAGAATATGTTATATTTATTTCTAATAATATTTGTATGAAAAGTTTTAAATTATTCCAGGCTTTGAAACAGCAAGATCACTGGCTCTCCATGGATGCAATGTTATCTTGGCTTGTCGCGATGTACAGAAAGCACAGGAAGCTGTCAAGAAGATACAGCAAGAAAAGGAAAATGCACTCTGTGAAGTTTTACACCTAAATCTAGCTTCTTTGCGTAGCGTGCGAGATGCTGCTGAAAAATTCAAACAAAGGCATAGGTATTCAACATGGCAGTCTGTATGGAGACCTACAATTAGTTGCATGTAGAGTAACTAAGCTCACTTCATATTTCAAATTTCATTAATAATTTATTTATCTAGGACACTACACATTCTTATACTAAATGCTGGATTATTTGCTGTACCATATATGCTCACAGAGGATGGTTATGAAACAATATTTCAAGTGAACCATTTGTCGCATTTTTACCTAACACTATTGCTTGAACATGCATTACGAACTTGTGCAAGTCCTAGAGTGGTCATAGTATCTAGTGAGTCTCATAGGTACGTCAGTAATTCATAAATCTTTTACAAGTTAAAAAATAATCAACAATCAAGTATCAATCTAATTATCAGGTTTTCTTCAATACAATCTGCAGAAGACATCCATCCATTGACGTTATCTCCACCAGCATACAAATATTGGTCTATGGGTGCATATAATGACTCAAAATTATGCAATATGTTATTCGCACAAGAATTAGCCAGACGATGGCCATCAGTGAGTGTCTTTAGTTGTCATCCAGGAAACATGGTGTCGTCGGATCTATCCAGATATTCCTGGACCTTCCGGTTACTTTTTGCGATTGTCAGACCTTTTACCAAGTCTCTAGTAAGATATAAATTTATATTCGAATGGAAACTTACTTTTACTGAACCAAATTTATTTACTGCAACTTTACATTCCTAACTTACAGCAACAGGCAGCTAGTACCACGGTTTTTTGTGCAACTGCACCGGAACTGGAAGGTGCAACTGGTATATATTTTAACAATTGTTATCGCTGCGACCCTTCTAATGCAGCTTTAGATCCAGCATTAGCTATCAGATTATGGAATATCAGTCAAGAAATGATAATTAGCATTGTCAAAAGAGACAAGCTTTGGTACGATCTGGCGTTAAAATAATCGATCTAGTACAATTCACCAACAACTTCATGAACTGAGAGTTGTTTTTGTTATCAAAACTTTTCTTTGCATTACCAAAATAGATATTACTCGTTTAGTCGTATCTATTAATACTGCTGTTCGGCGAGGTCCTATGTATGGACACATTCCACGATCCAATGATTTCAGAAGCGAGGAATGATGAGGTGAGAAAGCCATTTTGTTTGTTTTGTTTCCAACTAATATGATACATTATTGGTTTAGCCACCTTGCTCGTACAACAAGGAAACCTTGTCATTTAGATTTAAAATTCTGAAAAATCTAGTCCTTAAGAACAAAGTCTATAAAGAACCTGATCTGTGAAATCCTTATGGCGGCAACTATCACGCCTCATTAATTTTCGTACATTTTTCTTCGACATAGTATATTTGATACACTCAAATGCAGATAACCTGTCTCCGTATCATATAAGTAAGGTTATTAAATTAATAATTCGATGACTTCATGAAAAATGCAGGAAAAAATGGTTGTATTAAAGGTTGCCTTGCTTCTGATAGCTCTGCTCCGCGTATGTGTCACTGATAGAATACCTGTATAGCAGCCTTAATGCATTCACATAGTTCTTTAGTAAAACGGAAAAAGTTAAGATTATTCTTATATTATAGATTATACAATATTTTATTCGTACACGTCAGTGTATGCAAACAAATGTGTGTACACTTCTTTATCAGTGTTCACACGCGCAAGTTTTATTTTTCTTTGAAAATATTGAAAAAAATGATCCATTTCGAAATAGAAACAAAATGTGTTCATCTTCATTTTATGGCAAAATTTAATATATTTTCATATTTAATGTAACAATAACTGATATAAAGGAGCTATTGCAAAGTATGTGAATTGAATATGTGTGGTTTGAGAACACAAGAGATAGGTTTTTATAAATTTATGTATACACAACAAAATTATATGTAAAAAATGACTATCATTTATGACGTATATTTCGTATAAACTATTTTACACACTTTAAACAATTTAACTAGCATAATATTCTTTGAGGTATTCGTCCTTTGGCTTTAAGATAGCCTTGTCTTTTAAGCTCACCACCCAACCTGGTTCGAGGCCATAAAATATTTGTCGAGGATCTTTTCGCATTGTAAGGATTTCATAATCAGGATCATCCTCAATTTTTGGGAGTTGATAACCATATTTTTGGGCCAGAACTAGGCGTTCGTAAGAAATTTTTTCAGGATCTGCCAAATAACCTCGAGTTGCAGCACTTGAATAATATTCTAAACAATCAGCTGGGGGCAACAGTCTTTTCGGAATTGGTTCCCCTATCCAATAAAAAAAATATTTTAGAAATAAAATTTTATATACCTATAGATATATATAATTTCATTATGATTTTACCTCGTCTGAAAGTTGTTTCTGGATCTACAACAGAGAAAAGACTATTTGTATCGTAATAGGCGGTTGTAATTACTCCACCATTCTTTTCAATGGCTGCAATTACTGGTTCACTGGTCCATTGCACCTCAATATTGATCTTTGCTTTAAAATGATTGGCTCCCTTGAAAAATGGACATGATAAAATGAAAACTAATCATGTTATAAATCTAAAGTTATAGTAATTATTTAGAAATTACCTCATCAGTTAATTGGAAACCTGAATGTTTCCAATCTAATTTAATGGAAAAAACTCCTGTATTTTGTAAAGCAGTAAGATCTATTGGTTTTGATATATCAAGTCTATTCGTGTCGATTAACATCTGTAAGGTTTTTAAGGATAATGGTGGATATTGACGTCGTAAACTGGAAATATTCAATCCATTATTACATCATTTTTACTAAATATTATATAATATTGCATTTTAAAAAATATACTATATACTCACTGATGGCCCTTATAGTAAGGTTCATATCCAAATCTTAAATAGAAAGGAGTATTTCCTGTTTCATAACCCAGTCTCATATAATTTTGACGTTGTCCAGAACCTTTATTTCCAGCCCCATGCTTATCACCTCCATGCTGTCCTCTGCCTCTTTTTGGCTATATAATACAAACATGTAAATACATATTCATTAATTTAAAGTAATCCATCATAGCTAACATCGCTGTTATACATATAGCATCAATTCATCATTTTTAAACTGTAAATAATACTTTCCAGATTCTATTAAAACAAAAAAAGAAACCATAATCCCGTAAAATCGAGCGGTTAAGAAAAATGCGAAATTATTATTTTGTAATAAAATAATCATTGTTAACACGCACATTTTTTCTAGAACCTGGATTATTTCGAATATTTCCCAGTGTTACCCTGGGCAATGTTCTTAACATTGACAAAGCCAATTCTCTGCCATATTTGCCTGTTGCCATGGTTCACAATAGAATATTCAACTTATTTCTTCTGTAATAACACTTGCTGGTTGCTCATTAAAAGTAAAATTTGTATTAATAAAGAACACCTGGTTGTCAGTAATATACAAAAATTGCCATAACTGAAGAGAAGTTGATTCCAAATCATGAAAGCTATGAAATCGATTGTGAAACACTATTCAGCCCGCGAAACTTAAAAAAAGCTGCAAGTTCAAACTTGCAGTTTGCTTCCTTCAAATCGTAGGTACTGTACGAAGGTCCTATATGAGGAAGCATTTTAATTTTTTTTTAATCTTTGGCTTCCTCATAGATGAATCTTCATCTACTGCCGACGATTAAAAGGCAGCAAATTGCAAAATTAAAATTCTTGGCTTCCTCATATAGGGACTTCGTACACTACTTACGATTTGGAGGAAGCAAATTGCAAGTTTCAACTTGCAGCTTGTTTAACGTGAGTCCTCATGCCTCTCACAACTTGGGGTCCTTCATACTGTAGAGAACGCATGTAAGAATAAATCTCTTGCATGATCTCTTCGGGCCTAATATTTTTGAATCGGCTGAAATTCAAAAATACTAGCACTTTAGAATGACATACTCCCGGGTGAGTAGTATAATTTAATAATGAGCAGTTTTTACTGCATTGTGCATAGTGAATCTTTGTGTTATACTTTATATTAACAAAAAATTCTGTGATCCACTGGTCCAGAATATTCTAGAACCCTTCTGAAGTATTCTGTATGTCAATGATAAACGTGTTAAAACCTTCATCCAATAAAGGTTTGCACCAGTTTAAACGAATAAAAGGATATTTGCGGTCATTTTTCATCTACATCAAGAAATGATAAACCAAAGTGTGAATTAAAATTTTAAAATAGGAAAAGACGCAAAATGGATAATAGTGCACAGCAGCAAAATGGACCACTTCCTAATTTGTGGTCTAGTTTGTCAACAGTAACAACGTTTGACACAGGTATTTGTTATAATAACCTCAAATTGATACTGCTGATTTTAACACTTACAAGTCCTTACAGATTTATTTTATTACTGTACTTTTACTCTAATATAATTATTAATTTACTATATATTCACATATTGTATCGCTCAAAATTATTCTTGGTAACTGAAATTAATAAATAGATATATAATGTATAAATACAATGTGTATATGATAAGGCAGTCTGTTTTAAGGGCATTTTATTTTTATTTGAGGTAATGATACTTGGACAACAAGACGAATAGATGATAATGCAGAGGCTAAATCTGCTACTGGACAAATTGTTGGCAGAGCTTCTCCATCTACTAGTATTCTTATTGAATCTCTTATACAACAACTTTGCACAATGTTTGAAGGAGATGCAGTGCGCAGAAACAAACTGTATTATGGTACCTAGAAAACTGATTTTAATGTATGTTTACTAAGCAGAATTATTGTTTTAAGAAACTTTTTTTCAGCAATATGTGATAGACTTCATGAGATGAAACTCATTGATGGCTCTTATAATATGAGAGAATTGGAAATTATTAGAGGGCAATACCAAAGAGCATTGTATCATCTAGTCACAGTTGCCAGAGCTTCAACTGGTAGTGAAAGTGCTTTACAAGTTCCTAGGTATTAAAAATCAAATAAAAATAATATATTTATCATTATCAAAAAACCTACTGGAAGTCATCTAGGATTTAAAAAGCTGTTTTTAAATGTTTGCAGCTGTCTTATGGCAGAATGGTCACGTTATCGTAGAGAATTTAAAGAAATCGGTTTTATAGCTGCTGGAGGATTTGGTCATGTCTTCAAAGCGCTTCATCGGCTAGATGAGATCGAATACGCTGTGAAGAAAATCATTGTACGTTCAGACAGATTGAAAACCATCATGCAACATCTAGCTGAAGTGAAAATGATTGCCAAATTGAATCATGCGAACATTGTGTCGTACAAAGGTGCTTGGATTGAACCGACTTTACCGCCGCCATTCGTAACAACGTTATTGTCGACAACACAAGACAAAATGAGTCATCGAAACTCGAAAAATATTTCGAATTCTATATCATCTTATAGCCGGAGTCATAGTAGTAACCGAAATCACAGTCGCAATCGAGGTCGAAAAAAAAACGGTACAGTTAGAGTTCTTGAAGAATCAAGTTATCAAAGTGTAAAAAAAAGTGAATGCTTAGATGATAATATTGCCAAGTCTAAGAACATTACCAAATCGTATTCTACTAATGAAAGGACATATTACACCGGTATGTACTGTGACGTTAATAGTAACAAAACGTCGAAAAAAAGTGGTAATTCTGGTGGCTACATCGTTAGCCATGATATTATAAATGAACGATTTCGTCAATTGAATACCACAACTACTATTATAGGAGAGCGCATTATCGAAACGAATAATTCCACAATATCAAGAGAATCGTATTCTGACGTAGTATCGTTTAGAAATGATACAGAGGGGAATGAAACTCAAAATGCTGGTGACTGGTCCATCATGAACAATGCTGATAAAATGAACACGTATGAGAACAGTAGTGAGTCAGAATCTTTTGAAGAATCTGTTAGTGACCGTAGAATATGCCAATACAATTCCTCAAAGGTTAATCATGCAAATTATTGTTTACAAATAATCCTTGAATTGTTATTAATTCTTTTTTATTTGGTATAGAATTGGGAATACACCACGCTATACATTCAAATGACGCTTTGTGAGAAAACTCTTCAACAGTGGCTCCATGAAAGGAATGAACCCACACCAGAATCGGTTGTCACTGCCATTGTAACACAAATACTTTATGGGTTGAACTACATTCATTCCTTGGGCATTGTTCACCATGATATCAAGGTCAATTTTTGTGTGGGTAGTAAATATGTTCATTTGTACATTTATTAATTTGCCTACTTTCATTTTAGCCTAGCAACATTTTTATTTTAACATCAGGTCATCTGCAAATTCAACTAGGCGACTTTGGATTGGCTTGTCCTTTGCAAAGAGAAAGACATTCAGTGTGCGGCACGAAAATGTATGCTGCACCAGAGCAATTACGTGGCAAGTGCGATCCTAAGGTATACACATATATATTCACACAAACGTACCATCTCAAAGTGGTTCTACGATAGAAATAATTCATATTATTTCAATAATTCATATTCATACAAACTAACTTCAAATGGTGCATTTATCGTGAATAACCCGGTATATTATCTCGAAAAGCTACTTCATACATTTTATTTCTTAAAATTAGGAACTGTTTCACTTCACAATTTTTTTCTACCAAAACCATATTTACATTATACTTATGTTTATTCTAGAGTGATATTTACAGTTTGGGAATAGTCCTACTTGAACTTTTAGTTTTCACAAAAACTTTCATGGAACTTGATCATATAATTCAGGCTTTAAAAGCAGGACAAATACCAACTAGTTTGACAACGAATTATCCAAAATGGGTAAGAAATTGATAACTTTAATAATTTCTGATATTATTCTTATATTATTTTAATTTGATTTATTTTATATCTTAGGCTCGGTTAGTACAACAGTTAGTACAAAAAGATCCAAATAAACGGCCCAACACAAAACAACTCTTACAAGAATTAACAGAAGATAAAGAGGTAACAATAGTTAGATTGAGAGACGAAAATGAAAAGAAGGACAATTTGATAGAACAATTGCAAAACGAAGTTGCCATATTGAAAGCTGAGATAGTTAAGCTCAAGATTTCCAAAGAAGATACGTAGAAATAATTACAAGCTTTCTTATAATCGATATAGAGCAAGATATTTTGTATGCTAGGAATTCGTTAATATTTTTTCGATATTCTTATTTTCCGAAGTTTAAAGATTGAGGGAATTTTTTTTATAATAGTTTATATGTAGAATCAAAGTGATAGTCGATTTTCTTAAATTATTCTTAATAGGACTCTGGAACTCTTATTGCCATGCGAGTAAAATATAAATGAAAATCGTAAATAACAGGTTTTTGACAGAAATTCTTTTCAAAAGCGAAATTCAACTCACATTCTGCAAGGGGTTACAATCATTCTGACACATCTTTCGCAATAATTAACTCAAAACTCAAAGAGTAGTCCAACCTAAAATTTGTGTTATCAATATGAATAATGCAACAAATTTCAGATCGCATTACTCTTTTCGTTTTGGGTTGACTATTGTAACTGTGATGTAAAATGATTGTTAACCTTGCCGAATGTGTACCATTCTTCTCTTTGGGAACGAGTCTGTACAAAAATCTTGTGATTTACGATTTTCATTAATATTCTATTCTCATAGTGCATAGCAAATAAAAGATCCGGAGTCGTCTTAATAAAGTATTTTACGAATCTTCAGAAGATGTAAAAATCTTAACTGCCAAAATGACTGAATATCGCAATAATATATATGCAAATATAGAAAACGGCGGCTTTCTGCTACACAAATCCGTGAATATTTTCTATGAAAATATATTTCGTTTTAGTCAGAAATAAGATGAAGTATTTTTTAATTGCATATATTTGCATTTTCTGCAGGACGAATGAATTAGCAAATATATGTACAATAGAAAAATATATAATGTAGTTCTATTAGTGTAATTTTAAAATACGTAAATATATTACTTTTTTTTTTAAACGACTAAAATTACACTTTATTTCTGAAAATCAGTGTTCTTTGTTGGTGGCAGCGTCTCTTTCTTAATTCTTTCAACCATTTCCGAATCACGAGGACTTGATAATTGCGAAGTATCACTGGATGGGCGATGTTTAATAATAATTTTCCATCTTAAAGTAGTTCCAGCGAGATTATCATTTTTTGAATGATCCATCACTGTCGATTCCTCAACCATCGCGCTGCTTGAGTTCCGCAAATCTGTAGACTTTAAGAGATCTTGAATTTTTTTAGTAGCTAAAGTATTATTTCGTTTAGCTACAATTTCTTGAACGTTTTCATACTTGTTACTGGATTCCACTGATTTAGAAAAGGACTCCAACTGACGAGGTGCATAATGCACGGAAACTGGCGCTACGACGTAATTCTCTTTACCTTTGGGACTTTCATAATCCTGCGATTTGTCATCCGAAGAAATATCACTGCGTGATTTCGATTTTGCACTATCGCTACTGTGATTGCCGAGATCAAATTTATTCACGTGTTCTCGTGAATTCTTTTGACTGAATGAGACGCACGGAAGGAGAGCTACACTTTCGATTTTACTACAGTTTGATGCGTTCCGACGAATGGAAAACGGCGTGTCTCTTGTTGGAAATTCCTCATCGACCGACAGCATAGATAATTCTCTGGACGTATCAGAAACAGTTACGTAAACCGCACCGGCTTTTGTGTCAATTTTGTAATTCCCACGAGTGTCCGTTCGCGGACTTCCAATTCTTGTAGAAGCTATTTCCGAAATGTCCTCAGCCAATGATCTTTTATTTCTACTTTGTAAATTCAATGGACATGGATCTTTTGGTGGTCTGTCACATTCCTTTAAATCAGGATGTAATGCGGTAAAACGATTTAAATATTCATTCTGCCTTTCTGTTTCTAGATTTTTATCATAATTGTAAATGGCATCCTCGTGAAGAGTATCTGTGCTCTTTGCGAAATGTATACTTGTGCTTGGCTTATCATGAGTGTCATTCATTGCGTAATACAAAGGTTGTTTCATGTCGGGTATAACACGATATATATTTTTAGTGTCCGTCATCCGTACAGGAGGAAATCCATCTTCACTTTCTCGTTTTTTAATTCTCTTTCTATCGTAAATATCGTAGGGCGTTGCGAAAAGTGCTATTGGCACGCGTTTTACAACGAGTTTCTCAACTATATAATCGCACTCTTCTGGATCGTAATCCTGTATAGAAGCTTTTCTCTTGGTTAAACCGCGAAAGCAGCAACTAAATATTGTTCTCCATCTCTCCGAGAAAGTAGTCGATATGCGAATATGAGTTTTAACTACCCTGGACTTACCAGGTGCACCTGAATATAAGGATTCTATTTGTCTGTCACCCATAGTACCATAAGAAATAGAAAATCATTGTATCACGAGGTTAGCCTGAATTTATTTGCAAACAAGAGAAGGCAGCTTATAAAAATTATGAGACCTGTATATGTATAACCTATGGCATAACATTGCTTATTTATTAAACAAAGATTCCTGGTTCATATACATTTTGAAAATGTAGAACAGGGAAATTCAATAGTTACAATTAATTTTTAAACAAATAATCTGTAGAATAATTTCATGACACAATTAACACCGAGCAATCACGAATCCCAAATAAACTATAGCTATAATTATAATTTTCAATGGATTCAAGGAAGTACTTCTTTCTTCGGTGAATCGCTTCTTTTCAAGTTATCTACAAAATTCGAAATCTTCATGGAATAAGTATTTAGAATGGTTATTACGTATGCATCTAATTGCTAAATACATATATTATTCATGGGAGCGAGGCCATGGAGATTTTCCCATAAGACACTACGTGAAAACTCTTAACTTTTAACATCGCTTGTCTTGTAATGTGCCGGTAACCTTATCTGTTTTTCATACACTTGCCCCTTAATACTTTATATTCAACGTATGCATCAACCAGACCAAATAAGATAATGAAATTCAGATAACTATTTAATTATTTGTTTGGAAAATCTTAATAAAGTCTTCTTTCAGACAACAGTAAAGTAAATGTCAATATAAAGACATACACTGAATACCTTTCAGTAAGCTTCGAAAGGCAACCTAGGAATGGCAAGTTATAAATACCTGTTACACATGTGTATGTATGTACTACCTGGGTGAAGTTCGAACTGTCGTAGCCTGAAAACTCCTACAGTTAACTTTTAGAGGACCGGCATTTTTGCCTTGAAATTTAATATTTTTTTACAGGAAATTTATGTATAGATACATATATAGAATCTATAGATTACGAGCAGACGTGGAATTTGTTACCGGCCACTAAACTGGCCAACGCGGTCTCGACCATAACGACTAATGTTGAACATTTTCCAATTTTTGATTTAAAAGGTTCTAGAGGTTTTTCACATTGTTGAACGCGATTTTAAAGTCAAATTATCAATAACAACAACAACCACAGGTGGGTGTCTCCTCTCAGTTAGGCCGCTCGGTTCGGCCTGTGCAATGACGGACTTTCCTAATATATAACCTCTATTCTTCAATTGTATGCCTAAAAACATAGTCAGCCAAAAACTTAAATGCTTAGCTTCCTTATCCTATACTTCTGAGAACTCTAACTTCCTACTCAACGTCGACGATCAACTGGTTCCAACAATTCTTCGCTTGCTGAAAGCAAAATGGAGATCCTCCTTTTGCAGTCTAACGAATGACGTTAGAACTTCTTCGCAGAAGTATAAAGTTCAAGTAGTTATCAGTCTCGCGAAATTTTGACGGACTTCGGAAAACCATACCGTAACCCACGGTTGATCTCACGAGCCAGCTACACTGCTCGTAGGTCCCTCTTAAGTTGAGTGCGTGAGAACTGGTGAGAACTCATAGTGTGATTGTAAAACCAATGTGATATAATCTTAAGAATATATTTAGATACTGCGATTAAGATAATATTATAAGTAAAGATTGAGAGAGTGAGGACTATTGGCTAAATAAATTGATCATGGTTTGATTCCTCTATCTAGTGTTTATATAAATAACCTGAGCCCAATCTAGCAACCGAGCCCGTAAGGAGGCGGAAACGGGAGCGCGCGCGAGCAGAACTCAGGAGATTACGTCTCTCCACGTTTAATTAAGCGTAGTTAGAACGTAACACCAGTGCCTCTTGTGCCGTCTATACCCTCCGACTGACTAACCTCAAATGGCAATGCAAAATCCACTGAGGTGAAACAGGTCCCTGTTCAGCAGTCAAAGTAACCAGACTAGGAAGTCTTTTTACGGGGAATTAGTAATTGAAAGACCCCTTGATTTCGAAAAAAAAACCGTGATAATAATTCACTTAACTTAACAAACAAAGCCCAAGCTAAAGTTCATCTTAACAATAAACAAAAATCGACGGATCCCGCACCTCATATAACCCTGTCGCCTCAGAGCAACAAGCCAGACATGACTCTACAATTGCAATATTGTAATAGTACTAATATCGCTCACTATCCCAATTTAGCCTAGCGATTCTCTAACCACACTGCTGGAAAACCGCTACTCAAACAACAATATAAACCCCTACGTTGTCACGATTCAACTGGACCTTCAAAGTTCCAAGAAGTATATTCACCAGGTCTCTGTAAAGAAATTACTAAACCAACTCTTTAAACACAAAATAGTAGATGTCAAAAAGATATACTGGGGGAAACTCTTAGCCGCATTTAATGATAAAACAACCGCTAACTCTTTGGTTAGCAATCAATCTATCAGAACCTTTGGTTACACTTTCTTCATCTCCTCGAATAGCGTCCCTAAACTGGAAATCATTAGGGATATTTCAAAAGACATCATCGAGGAAATCATCGACAACAGTTGTACTGTAGCTAGTGCTATAGTAACCTCTGCAAGGCGCCTCAATAGGAAGGTGGTGAAGGACGGTGCTGTAACCTACTCTCCTACAACCACGATCCAATTAACATTTGATGTCTAAATTCTCCTAGCTTATTATTTTTACAGTTCGAGACACGAAATTTCAGAATTTGTCTAACCTTTGTCATTATGTGCTATTAATGTTTTAAATTTGGCCACGTCAACAAACATTGTCGCAACAAACCTCGGTGCCTGCTTTGCGGTTTACTAGACACATACACTCTTTAGACAACCACTGCCTCGAATCATCCCCTGAAAAATCTTGTATTAACTCCAAAGCATGCTGCACCTAGAAAAAAACTTATCATATCTGCTTTTGTCTAAACAAAAAGACTTAGAACTCCAGCAGCAGGAAAGGGCATATCAATATCCGAAGCCTATTCTTAAAAACCCACGCACCTACAAACTAAATTTTTCTGAGTTATCACACTTGGGGAATTCTCAAACCCCGGACGATATCGGACAGGGACCCCCCCCCCCTTCCACTTACCTGGGATAAAGAATTTAGTCGTAGCTCTCTCGTAAACGGAACGAAATCTACATATTCCGTGATAGCTCGCCGTCCTCAGAAATCCATCCGATTAAACTATAATCACCCCCAATTCCGTCACTCACAAACCGAATCATCATAAACTTCTCATAAATCGAAATGGCAGAATCCCTAATTTAGACTATACAATGCGAAGTCCCCTGCACCCTTCAAATCCACCATCTCAAGAGTTGGACGAGGAAGCAATCTTCCTCTAACACACCTTCAGCCGACTCGCTGTACCAGCTGATATCCTTACTGGCGCAACTTAAACCGCTAATCAACCTACTTCTTAGTCTAACCCCACTTTTAAATAATAGCAATCTCATAAGCAACATACTCAATCCTAACCTTAGCCAAAGCAATAATAATCAGGAAGTTTCGACCCCCCCCCCC